GGGGGGTGCAAGGGTGGAAGCGTGGCCTGGATAAAGCTTTAATTTTGCAATGAAATTAAAGAAATTGCCCGTGGAACCAAGATTTTTAGATCAGACTAAAATGATAAATGACACCCGATCGCTTCTTAACATCGTGTGGCTAGTACAATTGAAAAAAGAAACATTAATTGGTCTTTGCCACACACACACACACAGCTTCATATTATTGGGCCGGAAAATCATAATTTTTCAGTTCAAAAATATTAGTCATACACGTCAAATGTCGGTATTTCAAACTGATAATGGGAAATAGTATTAAAAACATAGATAAATTAATTTCTCCATAAATCCCACCCCTCCACTCACCTCCCAAAAATACTTAAGAAATCTACTCCTTTAGAAAGGCTAATATTTGAATTTTAAAGGGAATTTATTGACCTTAAGAGAATCAGCAGCCTCTTAGTAATTTTTTATTATTCTAGAATTCTTTATGGCAGTAAAGAGGTCTAAGAACTTATAAGTAGTATATGCATGCGCATGCAAGTGATGATAGACACCAATACATCGAAATCAGGGGAAACCCTTAAAGATTTGAAATCCATAATTACGAATTTACACCGACTTGTAATATAAATTTACAACTATATTTCAGACTTAAAATTTTATTAGTTACAAACCATATAGCCAAAGTTGGATAATAAGGTGCTTAGGGAACTAACCAGGTATAAAAATAAAGGAATAATAAAACCCAAAATAAAGACCATTTCAATAGCACACAAAGAAGATTTAAAACCATGAAAGTAGGGCATAATTTACAAGTATTTTCCAGTGAAACCAATCTGAGTAAGACATAAGGCAGAGAAAGAGAGATAGAGAGGGTGAAAATGTGGATTTCAGAATATCAAGTAATTGAGTTAAAGAAGCCGCAACAATTTTCAACAGTCTCCTCAACAAAAGTTACCTTTATATGATTATTTAAGCAAGCTATACGTAGTGAAACATCAAAGTTAGATAAAACCGCAATATGTCAACCGGTCTATTTATAACTCAACTTGTGCTTCATGAAACAAAAAAAAACGCGTAGACACGTGTGGGAGAATGAATAGCCACAGTCTTTCCCCCCAAAGTAAAGAAAGTATTAAAAAGAGAACTTGCTTTCCAACCGGCAGACGCTGGTGGATCACTCCTTTCCCTGAAATACGTGTAATTTGTGGAGATGTAATCGTAGATTTGTTGAAGTGTGGCCTGTTTGTCTGGATAGGACTCGATCGCTTTGGCAATGAGATCTGAATATGTTTCCGAACCCCAGGGATTTCGTCTAGCTGGTCTCTTTGCTGCTGAACCCGATGCTCCTCCATTTCCCGACGATTGAGTAGTCGGTGTTGTTGTTGTTGTTGGAGTATTAGAGCTCAATCCACCACTCATTATATTTGACAACTGACTTCCGACAGAACTTGGCGACCCGGAATGAAGACCAGGTTGAGAGGTCTGCTGCTGCTGTTGTTGACCATTTGCGTAAGGAGAGGAGCCCCCGTAGGGAGTTAAGAGACTACCAGAATTATCGGTATGATGCCCACCGAAGGGTGAGTTAGCGGTAACTGACAAAACTGAGAAGTTTGACTGAGCAAAGGTCCCAGATGTACTCCAATCTATCGAACCCCGTGGAGGGGGAGAAGAATTAAAAAAGTTTTGTGCGTAATCGGAAGTGGTTTCAGAGGGGGCCTTGTCAAGCATGGGATGGCGACGAGAGTTATTGGAGAATTCCTGAGAGGTTAAATCGGTGGGAGAGTAGTGGAAACTGCCAGTTCCAGTGTTGGCTGAGACTGGATCAATAGGAGATCCTGAGGCATTGGCGCTGTGAAGTGCAAGAGCAGCAGCTGCAGCTGCTGAGACAGAGGCCGCACAGTCACCATAATCAAATCCCCCAATACGTGGCTGATCTGGGTCGTGTTCGTGGTGGTCTGGAATTGCACCAGCACTCCACGTTGATGCCCGGCATCGGAACAAATCAGACATTGAGGTTGGGAAATCCGTTTTGACGTTTGTGTGCGTAGAAAGTAGTGGTGATTATAAGCAAATTAGAAACTGGGAAGCCAAGTTGTGTCTCTTCTATTAATATATTATTAAACTAAAATGTAATAAATTTTCGGAGATTTATTTACTTAAAAATCATGAAATATTTTTATCGATATCTAACAAATTAGCACTTTTAATTTTTAAAAATTTATATCTACTTTTTAAAACACCTAGATATATTTTAAAAAAAACGAACTATGTCTAATACAGATCAATTTAACAAATGAAATAAAACCTGTGAAATAAAGCAGAATATCAATATAAACTTCATTAAATAAACACAAAAATTATTTAATAACCCTTGGGCTAAAGCGCGACCTCACCTCACCCACAAAACTATATTTGAACATGCATATGTTACTGGAAAAAACTTTCCGTAGGTCATCGGCTCACTTAAACAAATTTGATAAATTTTAATTCATAAATTTTTAGGGTTTAATAAATATTTTCTAAAATTATATTAAATTGTTTTAATTTCTTATAGGATCATTTAATGCCGTCGTGCCAAAGTTTATAATTTGAATATTTTATTTTAAATTTTCTTTTAGCTGTACATTTACATTCACCATAATTTAAAATAAAAGGCTATTCATTCTTAAAATTTTTAAATTGGATAAAAATTAGACATGCTTTTAAGATTTTTATCTCCGCTTAACTTTACTTTCTAAAAGTGCTTTAAATTTTTTTTATACTAGTTATAATTTTCGTCCAGGTTAATTAAGTAAATGTGTTGGATTTTCCATGCTTTTCTTAATCTTAACACGGCCTGATCTGTAATTTTAAAAAAAATTGGATTTCATTTTTCCACAAGCTTACACTATCATTTAATTTTGTCCTGCTTTATGTGATTTAGTACATGGCCTTTGATGATATGATCATGTATTTCACAATTGAATGAGTTGAATAGTGTAAGACCTAGAGTATTATCTTATGTTTGCGAATATTGCCTAAAATACAGTTGTGTTCTCCTGCATTTTTGTAGCGTTAATATAATTATTGTTTCGGTTTTTTTCGCTGGGGAAATTATCGTTACCATAATTATCATAGGACTTAAGACGCCTCATAAGAAAAACGCTATTTTAATGCTTAATTGATATTTAGAAATATAAACTCGAGAATATTAAAGTCTGTAATTTGATAAGGGGATATCGGAAAATGACGCGAGTTAGGAATGAGTGTAACTTCTGAGCTAACCAGCTTCACCCAAAAATTCTTCACTAGATTTATAAAAATTAATTAATGAACATTACACTTAACGCTGATAGAGGGCGGGTATTTTAAGAAATATCCTTATAAAAAGCCTACATTCGGCTGCCCCTCATTTTGAGCAGAAATAACCAACTAGATGACAATGGATGACCTATTCTCGGCAGATATGAGTCAGAACATCCACTTCAAAGCTCCTCTCTTTCCAATCTACGTTCTATATTGTAGCGATTTCAATGAAGAACTGGAAATTTAAATTTATTCAACCGGTGGAAATGCTACAAATACAATTGAATATGCATCACCGAAGTGCATAAGATAACTTTTTAAATTTCACTGCATGGAACGAATTGTTCGTGGTAGGCTAAATTCGTTTACTCTTAAACTTAGCTTATAACTCGTTTCCTATGCAGTATTTATAATAGAAAAAAAGAGATATAGTTAACAATTACTAGTACATATACGATGAGTTAACAAAATTCTCACGAATTTAGTTACTAGAAGGTCCTGTTTCATTCTCTCTATAGGGCTTTTCTACGTAAATTGTTTTTTTTTCCCAATTTATCTCCACTTATTCACTTATCCGCATTGGAGAGAGAGAGAGAGAGAGAGAGAGAATTGGATATAAATCAAGTTGGAATGGACATTTGTAAACTAAGAGAGAGAGAGTGAGAGAGAGAGAGAGCGCGCCAGAGGAAAAGTGTGGATATGCAGTCCTTTCATCTTTTCTAACACAATCATGCCACAAACAAAGCTTCTCGCCTCACCCCACCCCACCCCAAACCGACTACTTTCTGTCCATTAACTGGATTTGGACAAGGTCATTCTGTCAGCGTCGCCTTCTCGAAGTTGAAATGATGTGTTGGGGGGGGGGGGTAGGCAGGAAGTCGTAAAATACGAGACTTCATATAGAGTGCGGGTATCGGTCAGGCGTTCATCAAAGGAGCCAGGATTATCTACGGGGTGATTCATCTTCCACTAAATTCCTCCATAAGCATACTCAGTGCAATGAAATGTCGGAATTGTAACAGTTGGGTTTTTAATAAAACTGTTTAGGTAGGCTATTATAATATATATCTAGTTATACCCTTTTTTAAGCCACAACTACACTCAGATCTCAGGGAGGGAAGAAAGGAGACAAGTTGACGATAAGAACAGTTTTCATTAATAATAAAGAAACATATTCGCATACTTAGTCAAGCCTGGCTAATGGAATCTGGACTACTCATGGGGAGGCTTCTTGTTTGTTAATTCCTTTCTCCTAGTGAGCGTTTTTGTCCGAATAGGCCAGGAAGTTCAAATATATCTAAAGATCAAGAATGATTAGCCAATTAATCGGGGTGGGTGGGGGACGACATGCTGTAATTTTATTCTACAGCAAACCGATCGGCATTGATGGGGCAATAATGATACTCAAGCTGGGGTAAACGATAGACTTACCTCCACGTGGTGCACCCTGGGCAACGTATACTCATATGGCAAAAAATGTCTATTAACCGGCAGTTGACTTCTCACTTCAAACTGCCATCACATCACTCTATGTCATATTTCACAGTACTCACCTCACCTTTGTTCTACCTTTGCGTTTGTCTCTTACATCTTTGAAACACTCTTCTGTTCCCTCCCCCTCTCGACTTTTTTCACTTTGATGTTCCTTCTCCTCCTCTGTGAAGCCTGAAGTCAGCTAAAGGGCTAATGATAACTATCATAAAGCCTGCCATTCGGTATAAATAAATAAATGATTTTGAGGGAAATCGTTTGTTCAAGTGTTTACGTAACTCAAGTGCAGTTCACTACATTTCCGCCTTGTGCCAAAAGAAGATCCGTTCATTGATAATTGATTTGCCATTTGCAGTGACAATCTATGACTCGTCTATTGGTACATCTAAAATAGCATTTCCACTGAATTCTACCATTTTTGATTAGGGTAATCAGCAATCGATGTGAATGGGTGATTCTATAGGTAAAGTTAATTATTGAGACGATTACAATCAAGGCCCGCAGTATTGATTTATTTAACCTATAAAAGATGCTGTTCAGAAACTAATAGTGTTGTATTGGAAATAACCAATGAGATTTGGCCAATACTTATTATGGTCGGATGAAATTAATGGGGATGCAATTTATCTCTCAATGGTCTCAAGGAGATACGACCTTGAATTGATCGATTGGGGGGGGGGGGAGGTTGGTGGAATAGGAATACGGGGAATTGAAAGCGTGACGCGTGTAAAAAATTTATTTATTTCAAACGGCAGACGTTGTGATAGGTATCATTAGCCCTTTAGTTGACTTCGGGCTTTACAGAAAGGAAGATGAACATCAAAGTGAAAAAAGTCGAGAGGGGGGGGGAACAGAAGAGTGTTTCAAAGATGTAAGAGACAAACGCAAAGGTAGAACAAAGGTGAGGTGAGTACTGTGAAATATGACATAGAGTGATGTGATGGCAGTTTGAAGTGAGAAGTCAACTGCCGGTTAATAGACATTTTTGCCATATGAGTATACGTTGCCCAGAGTGCACCACGTGGAGTTAAGTCTATCGCACACCCCATTCGTGTAAAAAATAAGGGTACAAATTTTGACACCTTTAAACTTACTTAACCTTTAGAAATATTTCTACTTAAATTCAATAAGTAGCGGGGAAATCGGTAGATTACTGCATCAGAACCGAACCCATGACAGACAAGAGAGAAGGCACGCGGGTTATACTCACAGACAATTTAAATTCAAAATATTTAATGACTTATAAAATGATAGCTAACGGAATGAAATATTGTCTGTGCCTATTGAAAACGCCATAAATGATACGCGTTCGCGAATAAGGGTCTTACCGACCACTGTTGTGGGGAATGAAATCGCTTTAAGGTGACATATTTTACTAATATTCAGAAGTTGTATGTAACAAGGAGATAAATGTGATGACAATATATCTTCTTCCTCTTCCTTTTGGGTAGCTTCAGGTGTCGAATTGATGAATTTTGGTCATTTAGCTACCTCACTTTTCCTAACAAGTTTAATTGTGAGGAGACAAAGAGAATATAATTTTATTCGGTGGTGGCATTCATTAGCCAATGAACTGTGAAGCTGTTCGAGCAGAAGATTTCAAAGATGTGACAATTTCACGGCTTTCATTTAGGCAAAAAATCCAATTTAATAGTTTCGAAAATATATGGAATTAGAGGAGAAAATCGTTCAAAACTCACCACACTTACTAGAAGCCAGTGTAATAACCAATTATATAAGAGTGCAACGATAAGTACCTTGACGCCAAACTTAAATGAATACGATCATGTGAATTGTTGCAGTGCTTTGTTCTTTCCATTACTTTTTTCCAGCAATAATTGTTTTAAGAGAGTAAAAAATAGTTACAATTTCGCAATTTAAAATGTCCTATACACTTCCACAGACAACTGTCACTTCAAGGGGAAAATGAATACTAATGAGGAAATTTTGGCCTATTGCGTAGGCATCAAGTTGATATTAATCGAGCGTAAAATCAATAAATGACATTTAGCTAACAAAAAAGAACCAGGTAACTGCAGAGTGCATGTGTCATATCGAAATCATATTTTATTACACTGTGTCAATTGCAACCAATTAGATCGATACGCTAGACACACGTTAAAGAGGGAATAAGACAATGCGTGTCAAGTCTCCATGTCTCAAAGAGAGTCTGTCATGTGGTCTGACACCTGGAGCCCGACGGATACCACATTTACTTTACAACAATTTGGAATCATGAAATTTATTTATATTAAATGGCAGGCGTTTTGATAGTTATCATTAGCCCTTTAGTTAACTTCAGGCTTCACAGAGGGGAATGAACATCAAAGTGAAAAAAGTCGAGAGGGGTAACAGAAGGGCGTTTCAAAGATGTAAAAGAGACAGACACAAAGGTAGAAAAAGGTGGGGTGAGTACTGTGAAAGTAGTCGAATATGACACACAGTGGGGTGATGGTAGTTTAAAGTCAGAAGTCAACTGCCGGTTAATAGGCTTTTTTGCCGTATGAGTATACGGTCCCCAGGGTGCACCACGTGGAGGTAAGTCTATCGCACACCCCTGGAATCATGAAATAAGGTGGAATGAATGTCTAAGCAATGGGTGAAAGTTGCAATTCTGAATATCTTACACCTCAAAGTTCTTGAGGTTACTGAAACCCCAATAATGGACAGTGCCCATTACTTTTATCCAGTGGTATTTTAAACAAGCCAAAGACTTATGGAAAGCAATTCAGAGTCTCAAGTGTGAAAAAAATAAAGGCAGACACCATTGGGCAAAAATGAGTTTTCAGATTTTGGTTTAAATAAGTTAAACATAGACGAACAATGACACAGGGGTGTGCGATAGACTTACCTCCACGTGGTGCACCCTGGGCACCGTATACTCATACGGCAAAAAAGTCTATTAACCGGCAGTTGACTTCTGACTTCAAACTACCAAGACCCCACTGAATTTCATATTCGAATAATGTCGCAGTACTCACCTCACCTTTTTCTACCTTTGTGTCTGTCTCTTTTACATCTTTAAAACTCTCTTCTGTTCCCCCTCTCCCTTCACTTTGATGTATTTATTTATTTCAAATGGCAGGCGTTATGATAGGTATCATTAGCCCTTTAGTTGACTTCAGGCTTCACAGAGGGAAGGTTCATCAAAGTAGCAGAAATTCGAGGGGTGAGGAACAGAAGAGCGATTCAAAGATGTAAAAGAGGCAGACAGACACAAAGGTAGAGAAAAAGGTAAGTTGAGTACTGTGGAAGGGGTCGAATATGTCAGCCAGGGGGGGGGGTCGTGGTAGTTTGAAGTCAGAAGTCAAATGCCTGATGTTACTTTAAGTGAAATAGTTTCATTTTCCTTGATTTCATCCACCTGAAATTCAATGTCCACAAATATTTTCATTGAGTATAAAGTGCACTAAGTGGGATTTGGTGGTTCTCGGAGTTTATCCTTGGGGTACTCCTAACCCACGACACCCATAGTTGTTTAAGAAAATGGCCAAGGCAACATTGCAGCACAGGAGGAAATGGAGAAGACCCACCTGGTTCGATGTCCATCCCTAAAGACAACGACGGAAACCCAGAGATACTGGGAAGCAAGAAGACAGCTAATGAACTGCTATAAATGTACCCCCCCCACCCTTGGGGGAAGCTGAAGTCAAAGTTTAAGGGCTAATGATATATATTACAAAGTCTGCCTTTTGAAATAATAATAATATTCCAGCACACAAATTTTTGCTGAACTTACTTAAATATTATCCACCTCTTTTAAATTCACAAGGGTCGGGGGGGGGGGGGGTTACGTCAGGTTAATTAAAATGATCTCTTCTACACCACATTTGAGTATGATTATTGATATGCCACAGTGCACAGATAACTTAATGTGTTATAACAAAGTATTAAAAGTCTGCTTAATTAATGGAATAAACAGTAAGAATAGGTAATTTGGGCATAGTACTAATGAAAGTAAGTAGTGAAAACGAAGAAAGCTCAAGTGAAGTCATAGGCAAGTATCAGCAAAATAACGCCTACACGTGTAATTGTCTCGAGTCCTATGATTGGTTGTAAGCAGACATAGCTATGCAGCTCCTAACCAATCAGCATTGTGCATGCGTCAAGAAGATGCGTGTACCCACAGAGCGTGTTTTGTGGCGTGCATTTCAGGATTGATCATCTTAAGATAATGTCAAATAAGGGTTACACGCGTCAACACGAAGAGCTCCAACCTTTTCAGTCGTCTGGATTAACCAAAATGGAACCTAAAAGTGGTGTCTCCGGCTCTTGTAGCACAAAATCATCAAAAAGCAAGCAGTCTGGAGGTCTCCACATGGAAGATGAGAAATACATTGCACTCCGTAAACGCAACAACATTGCCGTCAGAAAATCACGCGAAAAGCAGCGGGCAAAGCAGAATGAGGTTATCAAAACGTAAGTGGAAATATTTCATGTCTCAATTTGGACCAAAATTTGGTTCAACATTAAAACACGTTCCCTTCTCATTGTAGTCTTTCAGTCCTTCGCGAAGAAAACTCTAGTCTTCAATCCACTGTAGCTGCAAGGATTCGGGAGTTGAATCTCCTGAACAGTCTTCTCAAGCAAGTCAAGCATGCTCCGCCTGAAAGACTTTCCAAAATTCTCAGCGCCTACAGCATGGATCACACCTCTATCGATCTTTGTACTGACAATCAAGTTCCTCAACCATCCTCCTCTTCCTCTTCTAACTTTTCCAACTCCTCTTCTCCAAAATCCATACCTCCTCACCCTCCGAATCCTAATTCAGCAACATCTCAGCTTTTATCCACAACTCTCTACCGACAGATGCCCTAATCCACATTGAGTCTGAGTTTGTCTCCCTATATCTCTTTCTACTTTTGTACATAGTTCATTTGGATTTTTAATCAGGTTCTTACTTTGTTTACTAAGATTAATAGATACATGTCTGGGGCCTTGTGCTCACCAATATGACGCACTGACACACTCACACACACGTATCTATATATGTGTATGCTTGAATACAATGACATTGATAACCATAATTTTTAATTCGCTCGATAAACCAGGCCTTCCATTCTTTTCCCTCTAGTAATTTGAGGACTGAGAAGGTTTCTCAAGGTGGAGTTTATGAAGGTTTTTATGTCGTTAATTCAAAAGCAATTGGTTCATAGCGTTATCAATGCTTGAGACAACTCAAATAAAATTTCCTTCAGATTAGAGTATGTACAATTTAAGTAATAAATTAACTAAGTTAATCAATGAAAGAGGTTGTTATTGCATGTGTTCAATGTTTATTTATTTATTTCGAATGCAGTCATTTTGATGGTTATCATTAGCCCTTAGCTGACTTCGAAATTCACAGAGGGGATAAACATCAAAGTTCAAGAGGGTGGACCGAAGAGTGATTTGCGGATGCAAAAGAGACAGACACAATGATAGAGAGCATGGTAAGGTGAATATTGTAGAAGTGGTCGACTTTGATATACAGTGAGGTCATGGTAGTTTGAAGTCAGAAGTCAACTGCCGGTTACTCATGGTAGTTTGAAGTCAGAAGTCAACTGCCGGTTAATAGATGGTAGTTTGAAGTGAGAAGTCAACTGCCAGTTAATAGTATGGTAGTTTGAAGTCAGAAGTCAACTGCCGGTTAATAGGGATCTTTTTGCCTTATGAGTATACGTTGCCCAGGGTGCACCACATTTTGCCGTATGAGTATGCGTTGCCCAGGGTGCACCACGTTTTTGCCGTATGAATATACGTTGCCCAGGGTGCACCACGTGGGCAGTTTGAAGTACCAGTCAATAGACTTTTTTCCGCATAAGTATACGTTGCCCAGGGTGCACCACATGGAGGTTGTAAGTACACGTTGCCCAGGGTGCACCACGTGGAGGTATGCCGTTTGAGTATACGTTGCCCATTGGTTTATAGACTTGTTTGCCGTATGAGTATACGTTGCCCGTCAATGGGGTGATGGTAGTTTGAAGTGAGAAGTCAACTGCCACAATGGGGTCATGGTAGTTTGAAGTTAGAAGTCAACTGCCTTTAATAGACTTTTTTGCCGTATGAGTATACGTTGCCCAGCGGTTTATAGACTTTTTGCCGTATGAGGTCTGTTGCCCAAATATGACATACAGTGGGGTCATGGTAGTTTGAAGTCAGAGGTCAACTGCCGGTTTATAGACTTTTTGCCGTGTTAGGGTTAGATCAACTGCCGGTTTATAGACTTTTTTGCCGTATGCGCATACACAATGACATACAGTGGGGTGATGGTAGTTTGAAGTGAGAAGTTGTGACATATAGTGGGGTGAGGGTAGTTTGAAGTCAGAAGTCCACTGCCGGTTTATAGACTTTTTGCCGTATGAGTATACTTTGTAACATACAGTGGGGTCATGGTAGTTTGAAGTCAGAAGTCAAGGCATACAGTGGGGTCATGGTAGTTTGAAGTCAGTGGTCAACTATACAGTGGGGTGATGGTAGTTTGAAGTGAGAAGTCAACTACCAGTCAATAGACTTTTTTCCGCATAAGTATACGTTGCCCAGGGTGCACCACATGGAGGTTGTAAGTACACGTTGCCCAGGGTGCACCACGTGGAGGTAGCCGTATGGGATGTCAACTGCCGATTAATAGACTTTTTTGCCGTATGAGAAGTGATAAGTCAACTGCCGGTTAATAGACTTTTTTGCCGTATGAGTGGGTTGCCCAGGGTGCACCGCGTGGAGGTAAGTCTATCGCAACAACTGCCGGTTAATAGACTTTTTTGCCGTATGAGTATACGGTGCCCAGGGTGCACCACGTGGAGGTAAGTCTACCGCACAAGCCCAGGGTGCACCACGTGGAGGTAGGTCTATCGTACACCCCGTGTTCAATATTATATAATGGCAATTTGATTGAAATCCCAATGTAGGGCCACCAAAACAAAGATGAGTATTGATTTTTCATAGGATTGTCTGGGAAATATTTAACACGGAAGGAAGAATTTAATTCACGTTAAGTTCTTTTCTCATTTTAATTAAATTTTATTGAAGCTGATTAAGATCGAGGTGTTTTAAGTGAGCTTAACTACTTACGTTATAAAGTGTTTCATTATGACATTCGAGGTCCAAATTGTAAGCGTAATTTGCGTAGACTTAACACGGTTGGCTATTTCCACAAAATCGATCAATTTTAGTGGGTTTGCACAGTTATTGATTTTATTGAGCCTATTAATCTCTCTCCCCCCCCTCTCTCAATCTCGCAGAATTCACAAAGCCAACTAATTTCGTGCTACAGTTTTCCCCCAAGAGTGTGTCAGACATTGGGTTAAGGTTATTAATAAGAAGCTTTTACTCGTGCAATGGGAAATGATAATCAGATATTGAGAAATTTTAAGCAATTTGTGGACTTAAACAATGCTATTTTTTTCAATTTTACGCCAAAAATGGAGAGCTTATTTTTGTGAATATCATCTCAAAGTCAAGAGGGATGTAGTTGTAAGTCCTCAATCACCCTGTAGTGAATTAGACGGTATTAGCAACCAACAACTTCTTTATTTATTTATATCAAATGACAGGCTTTATGATAGTTATTATTAGCCCTTTAAGTTGACTTCAGGCTTCACAGAGGGAGAGGAACATCAAAGTGAAAAAATTCGAGAGGGGAGGGGGAACAGAAGAGTGATTCAAAGATGCAAAAGAGACAGACACAAAGATAGAAAAAAGGTGAGATGAGTACTGTGAAAGTAGTCGAATATGACGTACAGTGGGGTCATGATAGCTTGAACTCAGAATTCAACTGCCGGTTTATAGACTTTTTGCCGCATGAGTATACGTTGCCCAGGGTGCACCACGTGGAGGTAAGTCTATCGCACACCCCACAACTTCTTTGTAAATCCCAAGCGAGAGTTCTAAAAGTCAATAATCAATAGACATGCTCTATTGTACAAAACAAATGTTTTCACGTTAATGAATTTTACATTGATGATAATTTGAGCATGCTTATGCACGTGTATCCATTTCTATTCAATCGATTGATTTTCAACCTATTACGCACTCCGAAAACTCCCCTCTTAATTGGCTAATACATGTGAACGAATAGGCGTGCTAATTGAAGACAATTTTAACTAACCTCTCCGCAAAATTCTTACTGAAAACTTTTATTAAATAAGCTTTTTTCATATTTCAGCCAATTTCATCGGTATTTTCACTCTAGCCAAAACAGAAAAATATATTGCCACCAAACTTTTCAGCAAATCGATTAAACCTTTTCATTGTAAGCAAAACCATATACGAAGTGATGTTATAATTAATTGATAAGAGAGTCTTTACTCAAGAGGGCCATTTAGGCGATACTTTTTATATTCCCCTCCACTAAATTTGAGAAAGGAAATTGATTGATTCAAATATTGGCAGCATGCACACGCAAGCAAATCACACACCTCTCAGTTGCTAGGATACGCCTTATTGTTAGACGAAGTTGTCTCCCATATAAGGCCAAATTCACAATCGTAAAGAACTGCAGAGAATAACAAAAAACCGGTTTCACTGAATTCTACCTCTTAATTCATTAGCTAAATAAATCCATAATTAGTATTCTTGATTGTCAACCAATTAAATGCTTCTACTCATATTAGATTATCTTTAAAATATAAATTTCATACGTGTAAGTCAAGTATAACCTCATAGAAAAACTTGCAAAAAAGGGGTGCATTCACAATTCATATGAATAAGCATTGCACAGTAATTGCGCAATCGAGAATCTCTATCAAGGTCATCGAATACTATTGGCTAACCAATTAACTGTTTTCTTACAAAATTTTGCCAACGGATTGGAGACAGGCAACGTGAGGTTTAAAATTGTCATAAATCCTTCGTACTTTGATGGTGAGTTAGTGATATGATTACTTACTTACTTGCCTACATTTAAAAAGAAATAGAAAATGGGACATAGTGCGGTTTAATACATTATTGGGGGCACCTTTGGTTCCGAAAATAAGTGGAAAAAGACACGAATTTTGTGAAATTAGCGGAGAAAAAATATCGAAGGTTATTACTAATAACGGTGTAATGGTCATCAAGATCAATTTCCACCGGTAATTCAGATACCTATCCTTCCGTTCGTTACTAAATTATTTTGTGAATTTCTCTGTAAGAAGCATTATATAAATAGGTATGTTACATGCATAGTTGACGAACTATATTCTGCATTACATGGTTCAGTGATGCAAGGGTCACCAATCACATTCGGCACGCCAGAGTTCACGCGGTCGATAGTCGATAGTTCAGTCGCAACGATTGGGTCAGTTGAAACAGGAGAGACGATGGAATGCTGACTGAATTTGTCTCCAGGGTAAATTAATTCGTCATAATTTAAGTACGCTCAATCATACTCTTTAAAACATAGGTGTAGAATTTTAAAAATTATCATCTTAAGGAAAAGATTCAGATTGAAATTAACGTCCTCCTTTGTCTCGAAACAAAAAAGTATTCATCTTACACAGAAGACGTGTTAAAACTTTTAAGCAATGCTTATTTGTACTTCTGTCGAGTCGGGGTGTGCGATAGACTTACCTCCACTTGGTGCAGCCTGGTACAAAAAAGTCTATTAACCGGCAGTTGACTTCTGACTACTCAAACGGCAAAAAAGTCTATAAACCGGCAGTTGACTTCTGACTGCATGTGGCAAAAAAGTCTATTAATCGGCAGTTGACTTCTGACTTCAAGCTACCGTGACCTCACTGTATGGCATATTCGACCACTTCCACTGTGCGGCAAAAAAGTCTATAAACCGGCAGTTGACTTCTCACTATCGGCAAAAAAATTCTATTAACCGGCAGTTGACTTCTGACTTCAACGCAAAA